AACAGAGACTCGAATGGTATGGGTGCAGATAGGCTGCCTGCGCGAAGCGAGCCCTTTTTTTCTTACCTTAAGGCGATGTCGGAAAAACCCGTCAGAGCCGCCTGCTCCTACGACCTCCTTTTTGAAAACCACCGGGTTCAAAGGTAGACCAGTCCAGGTTTCGAAGCACCAGAGACGTGCAGAACGGTCAGATCTGTCAGTTGTCATAGTCTATTTCATTTCGATCAATGAGACATTATGCAACGTGACGTCATAATGGCCATCATGACAGCAGCCGCCACTAAATAGTAAATGCGTGCACGGTCGTCGAGCGCCCGTAGTCGTTCATTCCAATGTTGGGATTGTCGCTTTAGTTGCTTTATTACGTTCACCCATCGAGTGAGAGGAGAACATTCTTGGGCCCAATGGGGCAATGTGCTGAACGTTGGTACTAATGATGCTGTTACCTCATTGGTTTGCACAGCATATCAAGGGTCTGGACTCTGCATTTGGATGGAGGTCAACCGGAGCACATTTGATGCAAGCCCGCGGTCTGGCCTTGATTTGAACCATTGTTCTTTGATGCTTGATAAACACTTTCCACGTCGAAAATATACAAAAGTTTAGGGCGCCTATCCGTCCGTATATGTCATCAATAGAACTCTTTAACACGGGATTTTGATCATGATTGTAAGGCACACACCATACCCGAGAGGTGCTCCTCACAATTGCGCAAATGTTATCAACCCCTGTTAAGATTCGGTGATTATAGTCAGCCGAATTACTGTGATTAGGGTTCGGCCCAAGTTAGGGTTTGGACTAGTGAACGCCGACGTGCGTGTACGGCGGTTGAACGGTTAAACCGTTAGGCGGTTTGGAGGTTAGGCGGTTGAGAGTGGCCGTCAGTGTTAGCCGTAGATGAGGATATCGAAGGCTAAGATTGAGTGTGACTGTGAGCTAGGCTAGTGAGCCTAGTAGTGTGTGACTTAGACCAGTGAGCCTAGTAGGCTAGTGAGCCTAGTGGAACGGGAGAGACCCGAAAAACATATTGTGGTGGAAACCACTATTGTGATACATCATTCTAAGAGAAGTTTGTGGAGAGAAGGAAGCCGCTTGTGAGGCGCTTCGGTGTTCCTCTTAACTGCCATCAATGAGTGATGAGCATGGGTGCCGGGCAACACGATAAGACCCGATGACGAGTACCTCAACTACGCTACGACCCCCTTCCATGAGTTTCAACAGGTTATGGGCCCACAACGCTTGGTTGTGAAGAGGGCGCAAGGTTTCAATTCCGGTCGTCTGGAGGGCGATAATTGAACGTGTGCGCCGGTGAGCCTGTGAGAAAAAGAAGCGGAGGATTTGGCTTCTTTGTGCTTAAGGGAGAGTGTAGTTGAGATGGCGGGAGACAGAGTGTCTGTTCCGCAATTGTGTGGTGAGAACTGGTCAACATGGAAGGCCAAGTTCCGTGGGCTTCTTGCATACAAGGGATGGCTGTGTGCATTGGAGGAGCCGGAGTCCGTGGAAGGAAAGAAAGTGTCAAGCCAAGCAAGGGGGCTGATGCTGATCCACACGGAAGATGCTTATGTGAAGTTGATTGAGGGTGGACCCACTGTGGAGAAAGCGTGGAAGAAGTTGGAGGACAACTTTGAGAAGAGGAGCAATGCGCGCATGATTCAGCTCAGGA